AAGATTTGGGCCTTGAGGAACCTCGGGGTTTTGTAGGAGGAGGCGGGTGGTGGTGGGGTGAATTGGGGAGGGGCGTCAAAGAGAAGGGGGGGTTCTTGTGCTGGGAAATACTTTGGGGGTTCAGGAAGCATCAGAGGGGGGAGAAGCTCTCTTTGAGGGGGCGGATGGAGGGGGCCGGGGATCCGGGATTATCCGTATTTCGGGGCAGGGAGGCCAATGAAGGGACCCCTGTGGAGTTCTGGGGGAGCAGAGTTTGGGGGGGGGAAGGGGAGGGGTCCACAAGAGGAAACCAGGACAGGAAGGGGGGGGCGGGGGGGTCCAAGAGTTCAAATGACTTTTCTGATAATGAACACATCAAACACGTATCTTTTTTGTTGATCTAGACCAGCCAGATACAATAAATAGAGCGACCGGGTGGGTTTCACCCCCAGATCCTGGGCAGGGCGTTGGGGAGACCCCCCCACACTCCTCCTCCTCCTCCTCCTCCCCCTCCCGCCACCCTAACGCCACCCCTGCCTTGTGCTCTTTTCCCTCTGGATCTCGGCTTGTCCTGGCCTTTTTCACTGGAACAGGGACGAATGCATAAGCCTTTTGTTTAAACCTCCTCTGTGCATATGCGCCTCTCCTTGGCTCCACCCCACCCCAGCCCTTCCCTCTGGGCGCTGCAACCCCCCCACCCCACCTCTTCTCGCTCACTCCCCTCCTTGCCTGCTCTTCTGCTGGGGAGGGGCTCGGCTAAGGCACCGCTGCCGAAAGTCTGCCCACCGGCCGTTGCCCAGGAAAGAGACCCCTTCGCCTGGCCTTTCCTCTCCCCCCCCTTCTCTCCTTCCCGGGTTGCTGCACCCCAAACCTGTGCGTCTGGCAGCCCCTGTGCCACCTCCTCGCCCCACCCCCCACCCCCCCTCAGACTGTGCTTTCCAGCATCCACTCCGTGCTGCCGAAAGTAACCCGCCTGTGACTCAAGGGAGACTCCGCCGAGTTCAACTGAGAGGTGGACATGTGGCGCTTTGTCCGTGTGCGGCGGGGGTAGCTGTGACTCTGGAAGAGCGCGTAATCCCCGTCGAAGGAATGGCGGTGGTGCCGAGTCCTGGAGAGCGCGCGGGGGAAAGACCCCGACTCGCTGCTGCCCGGTTTGGCCCGGAGCTGGGGGGTGCCCCCGGGGTCTCTGAGGAGGCACAGGGAGACCGAGGAGCCGGCCCTCCTGACCTCCCGCTGTCCTTCTTCCGAAGTCAGGACCGCCACGGTTTGGAGATCGGGGCTCCTCTGCGCTGCCGCCCTCTTCTCCAGCTCGGTCAAGGAGACGTCTGGCCCATGGGGGGCATCGCCCCTGCTGCCCCCGCCCAGCCGGGGGTCCTTGGAAGCAACCTCCTGGAGGGTCTCGTACTTGTCCTCCCCGATTTTGGAGGCCGAGGGGGGCAGCGTGCTGGTGCTGGGCTGCGGGTGGCTGCCGTTGGTCTGCGAGTAGACGTTGCTGACCCTGGCCGCCTTCTTCTGCTCCTCCTGCCCGCTGTAGACCTTGTAGCGGATCATGAGGATGATGATGAAGACCAGCACCGAGGCCACGATGATGCCCCCCAGGATGATGATCATGGTGCCCCCCAGGAACTGGGTGTGGAGCGAGTGGCACTGGGCGCTCTCCCCCTCGGTGGTGAATTGCACGCAGCCCACTACCCGAGTCGCCGTCAGGGAGGTCACGCCGTCGTCGTACACTGCCAAGACGCACAGGTCGTATTCCCGGCCGGCGGCCAAGTCGTTCACCAAGAAGGTCTTGCTGGATGAAGGGATCATCCTGTGGGGGGGGGGGGGACAGAGAAGGGGAGTGAGACCACCGGGAGGACACGTCAACTCATCACACATTCCTGTGTCTGTTTTAGTAGTTGCCATAAAAATTAAAAAAATGGTCGGGGAGAAGGGAATCTGGAAGAGCAGTTTGCAAGCGGAAGTACCTTCCAACTCTTTGTCTTTAAAAGACTGTAACTCAACTACCAGAGCTTTTGCCCGCCAACATATTTAATGGGAGATGACACCCAGCCCGTGACGGTGCTCAGAACGTGATTTATGACACACCCGGGGGGGAGGGGGGGAAACGGGGTCACAGGGGCCTGTAAATGACCTGGGCCAGAGTCGGCTTCATGCAGGGCAGGGCCAGGATGTCGCCTCTGATGAAGTTGATGGACGTTTGGCTGATTTACGACTTAATCCATGATTTAATTAGAGCGATTGCTGGAATCCTGACCCACGCATCCTAAGCCTCCTAAACCCCCCAGGGAAGGAGGCCAGACATCTGGGGTCCCCCTCCGTGCCAGCCATCCCTCGGGCTCTCCGGCCAGCCTTCATCAACCTCTGCTTTCTGGCGATGTGCCTGTGAGAACAGATCCCCCCTTCCCCAGCCCTGTGGGGGACCCCTGGATTTTGACAAGGGAAACGGGGAGGGTC